CTGAGTTATACTTTGAGTTCCCTGCTTGCACTTGTGTATCTCGTCTTCCAAGTTGATGAGCCTGTTGGCATTCAACTTACCAAATCTGCGCCTTAACTCATCCCACAGAACCTTGGCATTATCATGCCTCATCACTGAACGCCTTATATCCTTGTTCAGTGAATTCAAAATCCATGTAAGCACAATAGTGTTGCAACCATCCCATAGATGAAATTGCGGATCATGCATAGCTGGTCTGGGCAGAGACCCATCCACAAAACCCATTTTGTGTTTTTTTTTCAAGACATTCATTACAGATCTACTCCACATGCTATAGTTGTTGCCATCCATCAACTCAGAAACGATGGGTAGGCTCAGATTCTCATTAGGGTTCAGGTAGAGAGGATTACCAAACATTATTACCTCTGTGTTGCCTGAGAGCCCAGTGTTCCTTCAGCTCCAAACGACCCAAACTGTACATTGTGTGGATCGATGACTCTAGCTCCGTTGCCGGTGTTCGGCGGTGTGTTGGGTGACGGTGAGCTAGTTCCAGACATGGCGGAATCCCTTAGAGCGGCCGCTCTGATACCATAAGAGAAAACCTAGCAAGGGTTTTGTGGAAGGAGTAATCTTCAGCAGTCTCTGAGATCCTCCATTTCATTATATAGTCCAGCAGAAGGTAAAGACAGAATGGATTACAGGCGCATGCCACTTGGATGCTCTCCATTTGTCAGTTTGAAGATTAAACAGTAAATTAAACGGCTAACTGCTATTACAATCTGCAAGTAATAAAACGAAACAGCATCAATAAAACTCTTCTGCAACTGATAGAAACGTTTCCTTCTTCTTGTACGTTTCGCCCTTCTTCTTCTTCCGCGACTCTGTTCTTCTTCTCTTCATTTCTTCTGCAAACTGGATTTAGAATCCTGACACTGTTCAAACTCCATTCTTGAGTTGGATTATTGACCGATTCCACGAATAGCGACGGCAACCGGTGGTCTACCTTTCAACGAGAGCATCCGTGTGTGGAAGGGAAGTTGCATGGAAAAGCTTTTTACAGGAATCGAACGAAAAAACAGGGGATTGCATCTTTGCCGCCGGATGTACAAGAAAAGACGCGCGCTTTTCTGCGGGAGGAAACAAATCGCCGGCGGCGAGGATTGAGGGAGGTGAAAATGGGAATTGGGTTTCTGGGAGTGGAGGTGTGCCACAAGGTTTGTGGATTGTAGTGGTTTCCCCTTGCTGAACCGCCATCGCCATTTCCAGAGCTGGAGCAGAGCTGCGAAGAACAGTATGGGTTTTGGTGGATAATTTCCCTTCCAGTCCCGATTGGCCTGAATCGGGCTTCGGCCCATTCAAATGTTGGGCCCAGATGTACTCGCTTCAGAACCGCGAAACCCTTCAAAGTAACAGAGAAACGTGAAAGGGAAGGTCGAGTTCAGTTTCTGCCCTCCGTCTTTATCCCTCCGGCGACGGTGAATCGTTCGCCGTTGATTCCATCTCAATGACTCTCCACTCCCGGTCCGCCGGACAAGATGAAGCGGTCAAGGCTACGTCGAGGCGACCGGAAATTCCTTCTGATTCCATCCATTCCGGCGTCATCTCCGGTAAATCTAAATCTAGTTCGGTATTTCATTGATTTGTGTAAATTCGGATGACAGAAATGACGAAGAAGAACCAACTTCTTCGTTCTTCGTTACAGCTTCTCCAGCGTACAGAAATGGTTTGGGAGGCAGCTGCAGAGGCTTGAAATTTTGGGGTTTGATCCCGGAAATTCTCTTCTCTTCTGTCCTGTTCTGGTATGTGGAACCATAGTTTTCCAACCTGCCCAACAGGTACGTAGACTTGGCCTCAAATTGACCCACCACCAGACTTGTGAATTGTGATGTTTACTAGTCTTTGTTGCCAAGTCCGTAAGTTTTGTTTTTCTATTGGAACAGGCATACAGAAATGATTGATAGAGAATTTTAATGGAAGTGTTAGCATAGTTCATAATACAGTCTTTTATGTGGCTAGAACTCGCTTGAATTTTCAAAAGGTGGAGCAGAAAGAAAGAAGTTTCAGAGAAAAAGACATGAAAGATAGACCCCATACAAATGCAAAAACGTTGTACTTAGAAAGGCAGGGTGCTGGTGAAGTTTGTGCACTGCCTAATTTTACAGAAGGAACAGAAACGCACTGTAGAGTAAAAGAAGAAGAAAAGAAATGAAGTTCCAATTGGAACCGTGTCCATGCTACTTGTTTTGGCTCATTTTCATTTTACTACTGCAGGCAGAGGCATACCATGGAGCAGCAGCAGAAAATGTAACACATGATTCCTGCAGGACCACAGCAAGCTGTGGAAGTGGCTCTGCCGCTGGTGATGTCAGGTTCCCATTCACCATCAGGGGCATGCTATCTTCTGGGTACGAAGGATTTCCTGGGTTCGAGCTTTCTTGCAGTACTGAAACCAACCAGACACTGCTCTATCTCCCCAATTCCGCCAACTTCACCGTTCAGAGTATCGATTACAAATCTCAGCTGATTTATTTGGGAAGCCCAGATGGGTGCCTTCCAAGACAACTTCGACACCTGAATCTCTCTACAACCCCGTTCGTAATACCAAGATTGGGATATACTAGTTTCAGCTTTCTTAACTGTTCCAAGGCCATCATAGGTTCTTCGCCGATATCTTGCCTAGGCCCAACGGTCTATGCCTACAGTTCGCGCGCTTCCTTGTATGATGTTGATTTGGTGTCTTGTAAGAAAATGTATGCACTTCCGTGGTCAAACGATGATGAGTACGGTAACGTCTTTTTGTTGAGCTGGTCTAGTCCAAGATGCAGCAGATGTTACAGGGCTAAGGGGGAATGTTGCTTGCTGAAGAAGAAGCAGGGCAGCAACAATCCTGAAGTTGAGTGTTCGGGGGATGCCCATCGCGAGAAAGGTATGCACCATCATCATCGTGATTCTTATATCGGCTGTATGTGTTGAATCCCCGCTTAAACTGGTTGGGTCGGACATCATTTGTTATATTCAGCAACGTATAATGAGCTGTTAGACGTTTAACTTACCTTTATCTCGATATAATATCCATCAGAGTTCATTTAAGGAGCAGACTCCTGACTTCACATAAACTTCTTTACTGAATCTGATTCCTAATGGCAATACCTCAAATTGCGATGGAGTACTAACAGTTAAGAGTTGACGATAATATGTGTAACCAACTTGTGAACTTAATTTGAGTGGGATATGATTTCATTGAAGGGAAGATTTGTAAGGCATTGAGATCAAATTGACTTGTTCTAACAATTTAGTTAATACTGAAATGAACTAATTTTTAGCACCTCTCCTCTCCAACAACATGATCGCCGTTCCATTAATGTTCACCTCTTTTTTACAGTTTCGTCTTTGAAGAAGGCACTTATTCCAGGAGTGACTCTGGGTGCAATCTCCATTGCGGCATTGCTCATTGCGCTCTACCGTGCTTACAGGTTTGATCGTCAAGAGAAGGAGTATAGGCTAAAGATGGAAGAGTTTTTGGATGATTACAAGGCACTCAAGCCTACGCGGTTCTCTTATGCTGACATCAAAAGAATAACAAACCAGTTCAATGATGAATTGGGTCGGGGCGCTCATGGAACCGTGTTCAAAGGAAAACTGTCAAGTGAAATCCAAGTAGCTGTCAAGGTCCTGGACAACAACGTCATCACCACCAAAGGAAATGAACAGGACTTTGTGAATGAAGTGGGAGCAATGGCTGGAATCCACCATGTTAATGTGCTTAGATTGGTTGGATTCTGTGCAGATGGGTTCAGAAGAGCTCTGGTATATGAGTACTTACCAAATGATTCACTCCAGAAGTACATCTCTTCCCAGGGAAACGAACAACATTCCAGCCTTGGGTGGAAGAAACTCCAAGAGATCGCCATTGGAATAGCCAAAGGGATAGAGTATCTTCACCAAGGATGTCACCAGAGAATCCTGCATTTCGACATCAAGCCTCACAACATTCTCCTCGACCAAGACTTCAACCCAAAGATCTCTGATTTCGGTCTAGCCAAGCTGTGTGCAAAGGACCAAAGTGCCATATCCATGACGGCAGCCAGAGGGACCATTGGCTACATTGCTCCAGAAGTGTTCTCAAGGAATTTTGGGAGTGTGTCATACAAGGCTGATGTGTACAGCTTCGGGATGTTGCTGTTGGAAATGGTCGGAGGAAGGAAAAATGTCGATGTCACTTCAGCAGATGGCGTCAATCAGATATACTTCCCGGAGTGGATATATAGCCTTTTCAGCGAATCCGGGGAAGATGTAAGGTTTGATGTTGAGGAGGTGGAGGAGGAGGAAAAAGAATACGGCAAGATTAGGAAGAAGTTGGCTACAGTGGGTCTCTGGTGCATTCAGTGGAACCCAGTAGATCGACCTCCAATGAAGCTTGTGGTGCAAATGCTGGAAGGGGAAGGTGACAATTTAACACCACCTCCTAATCCCGTTAGCTCCAATATTGGTGGTGTGGCAAGAATGGGAAAGCCGCGACCACTCCAAGAGTTAGAGATCATACCAGAAACGGAATAAAAATACTTCCCGAACTGGTGATTTACCGTATACGTGTGTAGTAAGAGTGTGTGTTGCCAATACACATGCGAGGTTAGATTCTTTGGGGCTCCTATATTCCGCTAGTGCTTGCCTGCAAATGCTTTCATCTCTTGCAAGGCTGTTTTTACTGTGTTCCTGTTGGAGTTAAGTCTCTTGTGAGTTTGTGATCCGGTTGATTTGGTCTTTGTATTGATTGGGCTTCTGGGGAAGTCGTAGAAAATGTATCTTGACCATTTCTTGGGGACAAAAGCTTTCTAGAACTTGACTCATGAAGTCTGACATGGGTTGTCAATATAATACTCGTGGACAGTTTGAACAAAAGAAAATACCTGGCCAGAAACAAGCAGAGCAAAGTCAGTGGTTAGTTACCTAGTACCCAATTCAATTCCCCCAACAACTTTTTCTCAATAAGTAACAGGTCTCCTTCTTAAGCCATATCAATCATGTCAGCAGTATCTCTCTTCTTGCTGCTGCTCCTCCAAAAAACTTGCCATGCTGCTGCAGCAGATGGCCAGGTCCCGGACCACTACTGTGAACCTTCTTCCTGCGGGGAAATCCCCATCATCAAGCCCCCTTTCCGGCTCACAACCGATCCCGAGAGTTGCAGTAACCTCAACCTTAGCCTGTCATGTGAGAGCAATTCCACCGTGTTGTACAGGGGATCAAGAAGGTACTACGTGAAGGCGATCAACTACAACAACTTCACAATCCGGTTGGTGGCCGATGGTGTGGTTAAAGGAAACTGCTCTTCCTTACCCGCTCAACCTATGTCCCCATGGGACTTCTCTGTCTCAGTAGGTGGTCTATCTTACCATGGACCAGAACACAAGCTTTTAACTCAAGGCTTGACTCTGATCAACTGTGACAACCCTGTTGTCCATTCTTCTACTACTACACCACCACCACCACTAGTGCAAGTGGAAACAAGTCCTTGCATCCATTTTGTACCAAACTCTGCTTCTTCTTCGACCAGCTATGCGGTTATTGGGTGGGGTGCAGAGTTATCAGATTTGCCAGACTCGTGCCGGGTGGAGATGACTGCTCTGTTGCCCATTGCCAGTGATTACTATTACAACAACAATAATGTCACATTTGAAGGAATTCATCGACAGCTTGAATACGGGTTCGAGGTTTCATGGTTGCCTCCTCCCACTGAGTCGTACACTTACAGATGCCCCTATCGTCTGCCCATTTTTGGGTTTTATTACTGCAAACGTACAACAAAACTTCACGATCTTACTGTTAATGATATATTTCTCTACACATTTTTCAGTTTTCCTATTTCATTTTACTCTAATTTAGCTGAGTCTGCCTTTTCTTTTTGTTTACTGAAGGGGGGCCGAGTTGGATCCATGATCCAGGTGAGTTACAGAAATCTATTGCTTCTTCTGCAAATACTTATCCAAGTAACTGAGTGTTTGTTCTTTATTCTTGTTTAATGCAGGGAAACCGAACACTATCATCTCGAATGCAGGTTAGTTACAGACATCCCTGCCTTCTTCTAGACTATCATCTTTCTCTAATTTCCTTTTTTCTTTTATGTTTCTTTCTTTTCAGTGATGAGTGCAAGCTGGATCATTAGGATTGGTAAACCTTTTCTAACTTTCATCATCTTAACTATAATGGTTCCATCTTATCCGCTGCACTCCATCACCATCAGGTCCTGAAGCTATCTGGTAATGAACTGATAATCATATATCCTTTGCAGCGATTCTAAGTCGCCTGTTATTGCTAGTACTTGGCACCCCTGTCGTAGTTGCACTTCTGATATGTAAATGGCGGAGGAGGCATCGATCAATATATCACAGTATCGAAGAATTCCTGCAGAACCAAATCCACATCATGCCAATCAGGTACTCTTACTATCACATCAAGAAAATGACCAGTGGGTTCAAGGACAAGCTAGGCCAAGGAGGGTTTGGCTCCGTCTACAAAGCAAAGCTACGCGGTGGCAGCATTGCAGCCGTCAAATTACTAGATTCCAACAACAAGAAGCCATCCACAACCGCAGCAGGACGAAGAGGACAAGACTTCATGAATGAAGTGGCCACCATTGGCAGGATTCACCATGCCAATGTTGTCCGCATGATCGGCTACTGCTCCGAAGGATCAAAGCAAGCTCTGGTCTACGGATCAATCATCTGCTTACTTCCCCTCCTGGGTTCATAACCAGGTGTCTACGGTGGGGACCTGTATTGCAGTTGGAGAAGTCACAGAAGAGGAAGACAACATTGCCAAGAAGATGGTGATGGTTGCATTGTGGTGCATACAGATGAAACCCGACGAGCGCCCCCCGATGAACAAAGTGGTGGAAATGCTTGAAGGCGACTTGAACAGCCTGCCATTGTCTCCCAAACCTCTTCTGTATCCTAGAGGAGAAGCTGCAAGGAAGAGTGAAGAAGGGTCTTCTTCGTCATTTGTGTCATCATCCGAGTACACAAAATCTGTTATCAGCACTCAGTGTGATGGTTAATAACAATCCAAATACTAAAACTAGCCAGTAGTAATTTCATCTTTTAAATTTTTTCCTCTTACTTTTCAACTATATCCTTTCTCTAATTATAGCCATAGATGGAAAATAAGAATGGATGGTTTAGATGATAGTAAGCATGGGGGTTAGCACCTTATCTTCTCCAAAGAAATCCATGTGTGGTTGAAGCACAACAGAAGAGGACAGCAAAGAACCAGAATTTTCAACCTTTGCAGTTGGCATATGCGGAGAACCAGAATATGTGGCAACCCATTTTCTTCAAAGCAAGCCTTTAGCCTTCCCCTGACATAGTATTCATGTCATCATCACTATTTCTATTCTTACTGCTGCTGCAGCTCCTGCAGCGAACTTGTCAAGTTGCTGCTGCTGCAGCTGTTGTTCCTGCACCAGCAGATAGCCCGGTCATGGTGGAGCCCTACTGTCGACCTTCTTCCTGTGGCGAAATCATCATCCAGTCTCCTTTCCGGCTCACAACTACAGCCTGCCATGTGAGAGCAATACAACTGTGTTGTACCTCAAATCAGGGAGATGCTATGTCAAGGCGATCAATTACAACAACTTCACAATCCGGTTGGTGGACGATGGCGTGGTTAAGGGAAATTTCTCTTCCTTCCCCGCTCATCCTTTGTCCGTAGACAGCGTTAATTCTTCTTCATTTAGAGCCTTCTATTCTTCCATGAGAAGAGGAAAGCCATTTCTGGGGATAGTAACGCCAGAAGAACAATTAAATGGTGCCTTGGCTCTGGTAAGCTGTGACAACCCAGTGGCCAATTCTACACTGTATGTGGAAACAGCTCCTCGAATCGGTGGTTCCAACCCGCATTCGCCATCTAGTTATGCCATGGTTGGGAGCAGCGATGGTGCAGCAGTACTGTTATCCGATCTTGCAGACACTTGCAGAGTGGAGATGCTTTCTCTGTGTCCCATTACCAATGAGGAGAAGATTAATAGCTATCACAACATCAAGGTCCCGTTTCGTGAAATTCACCGGCGACTTGAATATGGGTTCCAGCTTTCATGGCTTAACTGCTCCTCCTTCTGTCCCTTGATCCCATTTTGCTACCTTGACGATTATGACAATGTTTGCTGCATGGGTAAAGTAAAGTTCCATCTTCACCTACATTACATATTTACCTATATATCTTCAGCTAGCTGAGTGTTTGATTTTTTTCTTATTCAATGAAGGGCCAAGGATCATTCTCATCTTTGTTGCACGTGAGTTACAGACATCTCTGTCTTCCCCGTGTTCTTTATCGCATTACAAAATTGATTTTGGATTGATTCTCCTTTTTTTTCAGAATTACTTTCAGCGACCATGGCAGTAGCCCTGATTCTCATAGGTAAATTTTTCTCTGACTCTCTTCATCTAAAAAACTCCACACTCCCCTTCTTAATTTGGTTGCTTACCACAAACTATACATAACCATTCACAGTTGTAGCAATTCGCCTGCTCGTGTTTGTGCTCGGAACCCCTGTTGTTATTGCCCTTCTGGTATATAAATGGCGAAGGAGACATCGATCAGCATATCACAGTATCGAAGAATTCTTGCAGAACCAAACCCACCTCATGCCAATCAGGTACTCGTACTATCACATCAAGAAAATGACCGGCGGGTTCAAGGACAAGATTGGCCAAGGCGGTTTTGGCTCCGTCTACAAAGCAAAGCTACGCAGTGGCAGCTTTGCAGCCGTCAAATTACTCGATGCCAACAATAAGACGCCATCCACAACCCGAGCAGGAAGAAAAGGTCAAGACTTTATGAATGAGGTTGCCACCATTGGTAGGATCCATCATGCCAATGTAGCTCACCTAATCGGCTACTGCTCCGAAGGATCAAGGCAAGCCTTGGTGTACGAGTTCATGCCAAATGGCTCTCTTGACAAGCACATCTCTCATGACAACGATGGTGGTGGTGGTGACCAAAGCAGCAGCAGCAACACCTCTTGTTTGAGCTTGGAACAACTGTACCGCATCTCTCTGGGAGTGGCACGCGGGATCGAGTATCTCCATTCAGGATGTGATATGCAGATACTCCATTTCGACATCAAGCCACACAACATCCTCCTCGACGAAAACTTCACCCCCAAGGTATCCGATTTCGGGCTGGCGAGGCTGAACCAAGCTGGTCGGGACAACAACATCGCGACTCTGACTGCAGCAAGAGGGACCATAGGGTACATGGCACCAGAACTGTTCTACAAGAACATTGGAGGTGTGTCTTACAAAGCCGATGTCTACAGCTTCGGGATGCTGCGGCTGGAAATGACAGGGAAGAGGGGGAACTTGAATGCTGCGGAGACGGATCAATCAACGGCTTACTTCCCTTCATGGGTTCACAACGAGGTGTCTACGCCGGGGACTCCAATTGCAGTTGGAGAAGTCAGGGAAGAGGAAGACAACATTGCCAAGAAGATGGTGATGGTTGGATTGTGGTGCATTCAGACGAAACCTGACGACCGTCCCCCGATGAACAAAGTGGTCGAGATGCTTGAAGGCGACTTGGAGAGCCTGCAATTGCCTCCCAAACCTGTTCTGTTTGCTGCAGAAGCTATAAGGGAGAATAAAGAAGGGTCGTCTTCGTCATTCGTCTTGTCATCCGAGTATTCACAATCTGTTATCAGTAATTAATGTGATGATTAGTGATAATTGTCATAGTAATACTAACTAATAGTAGTAATGCAACTCTTTCCCATCATATGTGGTAATAGTTTTGGCACGATTTATATGATGCTCTTATAATGTTCCGTCGAGTTAATTCTTCCTAATTGGCACTTTGTATTTATCCATTTTAGCCTAACACTTTGATTGTTATTGGAAAAAACGTTTGATGTAGAGTTTTGTAATTGGTGAAAAACGTGTGATACTGTCACTAAGTGTTTTACATGATTCCTATGCACATAACATAAGACTCTTATTAATGGCTTCTTTTTCCACGGGTCTGATCTCACTTCTTGTAGCCCATGCATCCGTTTATGGTGTCCGTTTTCTTATCAAACTAGACGAGCATAATCCGTTCATTCCTTACTAAGTCTATAGCGTATTCGATGTCATGTATGTCGAAAATTCTTATTTTTTCTTCTTAATTTAACTCATGGATCTCTCATTAGTCTCGTTTTTCAGATCCAATTACTAACATATGTACAAAATTTAAATTCAGGGACTGAAAATAAATAAATGGCATATACTATGTACTGGTTTGTTAAAAATACATTGTACATGAACAAATTTGTTAGAAATTATAGTTTAGGGGTTAAAAGTGTTATTAGCCCAACAGAGAAAGAGTTTAAGCCTTCCATCAGCCAAAAGAGCCGCGCCCCGCGCCCTGTCCATTACCATTTACCAGAAAGTGAAACAAGCAGAGGCGACGGCGGCGGCGGAGCTCCGATTTCTTTCATCTGCTCGTCAAACGCCGGAAAGCAATCGTGGATTCATCCAATTGAGCTCCTTCCTCCATAGAGAAACTAAAAAAGCCTTCATATCTTCTCCGCTAGAGCGTTTGCTTGTGTAGGCTCAGTTCAGCTCTCTGATAAACTTTCTCTCAACATGGACGCGGAACACGAAGGTTTGTTCAGGTGAATGTTTACTTTGTTTTCTTCAGTTGAATTCTCCATTTGTTGAAAAAGACAAGCTTTTTCTGCTTCTGGCAGTCAAGGATTCGACTAATGAGGAAGAGGAGCAGCAAGAAATGGGGAAGAAAATGGTTGCTAAAGGGCACAAAAAGATGCATTGGAAAGATTCAAGCAAAAGGTTAGTGTTTCCCCTTTCACCTACTCGATATTGTATAGTCTAGAGAACGATTTAGTCCGCGCGGTGTAGCCGTGGGTATTGATTCTAGTATATCTCCACAATCAACTACTTCATGAAATCCTAGTACACCAAATGCCAAACACAATACACTTCTTCTAACTATTACCCGACTCAAACATACTTTTATTCCGTCTCTGGTATGATCTCCAAATCCTGGAGCGGCCGCGGCTTTCCCATGACTGACATTCTTGCCACACCACCAGTATTAGAGCCAACAGGATTAGGAGGTGGTGTTAAATTGTCACCGTCCCCTTCCAGCATTTGTACCACAAGCTTCATTGGAGGTCGATCAACTGGGTTCCATTGAATGCACCACAGACCCACTATAGCCAACTTCTTCTTGATCATGCCATCTTCTTCCTCTTCTTCATCCTCTTCAACATCAAACCTTACATAATCTCCCGATTCACGAAAAAGGCTATATATCCACTCCGGAAAGTATATATGATCGACCTCATCTGCTGCAGTGACATCAACATTTTTCCTTCCTCCGACCATTTCCAGCAACAACATTCCGAAGCTGTATACATCAGCCTTGTATGACACACTCCCAAAGTTCCTCGAGAACATTTCTGGAGCAATGTAGCCAATGGTTCCTCTGGCTGCAGTCATGGATATGGCACTTTGGTCCTTTGCACACAGCTTGGCCAGGCCGAAATCGGAGATCTTTGGGTTGAAGTCTTGGTCGAGGAGGATGTTGTGGGGCTTGATGTCGAAATGGAGGATCCTCTGCTGACAACCCTGGTGAAGATACTCGATCCCTTTGGCTATTCCAATAGCGATTTCTTGGAGCTTCTTCCACCCAAGGCTGGAATCTTGTTGGGTTCCGTCGTAAGAGATGTACTTCTGGAGTGAATCGTTTGGTAAGTACTCATAAACCAGAGCTCTTCTGAACCCATCTGCGCAGAATCCAACCAATCTAAGCACATTAACATGGTGGATTCCGGCCAATGCTCCCACTTCGTTCACAAAATCCTCTTCATTTCCTTTGGTTGTGGTGAAGTTGTTGTCCAGGACCTTGACAGCTACTTGGATTTCACTTGACAGTTTGCCTTTGAACACTGTTCCATGAGCGCCTCGACCCAATTCATCGTTGAACTGGTCTGTTATTCTTTTGATGTCAGCATAAGAGAAACGAGTAGGCTTGAGAGCCTTGTAATCATCCAAGAACACCTCCATCTTTAGCCTATGCTCTTTTTCTTGGCGATCAAACTTGTAAGCACGGTAGAGCGCAATGAGCAATGCCGCAATGGAGGTTGCACCTAGAGTCACTCCTGTTATGACTGCCTTCTTGAAGGACGAAACTGCACAAAGAAAGGCGGTGAACATTAATGGGATGGTAATCATGTTATTGATGATAGAAATTGGTTCATATCCGTAGTAACTCTGATTTGTTAGAACAAGTCAGTTTTATCTCATTGCCTTACAAATCTTCCCTTCAATGAACTCTTGGTCCACTCAAATTAAGGTTTTCAAATTCAGCAATGACTTTGATTTAATATCAAGAGTCTGCCCCTTGCAAGGAATCTGAATGGTGACAATTGTCGAGATAAGGTAGGTTAAAGTCGTGTCATTGAACGTTGCTGAACATAACAAAATAATTTCTAACCCAACTAGTTTTACCTGAGGTTCAACGCATACAGCTAAGATAAGTTTGATTATGATGGTGCATACCTTTATCACGATGGGCATCTCCCGAACATTCCACTTCATGTATGTCGCTGCTCTGTTTCTTCTTCAGCAAGCAACATTCCTCCTTGGCCTTGTAACATCTGCTGCATTCTGGATTAGACCAGCTCAACGAAAAGCTGTTACCACCGTACTCATCATCATCATCATTGGACCATGGAATTTCATACATCTTCTTACAAGACAGAAAATCGACCATATACAAAGTGTAAATCGAAGCGTAGGCATAGACCGTGGGGCCTAGGCAAGATACCGGCTTTGATGAAGAACCTGTGATGACCTTCGAACAGTTGAGAATGCTGTGAGTAATAGGTCCCAACCTCGGTATCACGAACCGGGTCGTAGAGAGATCCAGGTGTCGCAGTTGTCTTGGGAAGCACCCATCTGGGCTTCCCAAATAAATCTGCTGAGATTCGTAATCGATCCTCTGAACGGTGAAGTTGGCGGAGTGGGGGAGATGTATCAGAGTCTGGTTGGTTTCAGTACTGCAAGAAAGCTCGAACCCAGGAAATCCTTGGTACCCAGAAGATGATGGCATGCCCCTGATGGTGAATGGGAACCTGACGTCAATGGCGGATGAGCCACTTCCACAGCTTGATGTGGTCCTGCAGGAATCGTGCGTTACTTTTGCTGCTGCTGCTCCTCCATGGTTAGCCTCTGCCTGCAGCAGTAAAACCGAAATGAGCCAGAACGAGTAGCATGAACCTGTTTCCAATAGGAACTCCATTTCTTTTCTCCTTCTTTCTTCCCTTTTCTGTTTCTTGAGTAGGATTAGGCAGTGAGCAAACTTCACCAGGTCTCTGCCTTTCTTTGTTCCCATGTGTTTGGATTTGTATTTACTCTTTTTCTTAGCAACTTCTTTATTTCTTCTCCTTTGACAATTCAAACCAGTCCTAGTCACATAAATGAATGTACTGTGAACTTAAAGAAAACTAAGTCAACACTCCACATAAAAAACTTGTGACATTTGCAAAAAAAGACTTGTAAACATCACTGAGGAAGCTTCCTCGCCCAAGCAGAGGAATTGGTCAAATTGAAGACTTTTGCAAACTGTGCCGAATACTTAAAAACTTAGGAGGGTTATTATCACACAAAGTCTTGATTGAGGTGGTTCAATATGAGGGCCAAGTTCCCGTACCAGATTTTGGAAAACAAGAAAATCTCACCCATTGGTGTAGAAAGCTGGGGTTTGACAGTTCAAACAGAGCAGAGCAGATGGATTTTTACTCTGGGGTATGAAATGTTGCAACCTGGGTCGACCCATTTCTACTCCAAACACCTTCTGCCAAACAACCTTGCAACCATGTTCAAAGTAAAGATTCCCCTGCCATTACTTCTATTCCTGCATCTCCTTCTCCAAGAAACTGGCCAAGCTGCTGCTGCTGCTGCTGCAGCAGCAGAAAGCCAGGCCACGGAGCACTGTGAATCTTCTTCCTGCGGTGAAATCCCCATCAGGGCTCCCTTCCGGCTCACAACCGATCCCGGGAGCTGCGATGACCGCAAGTTTAACCTGTCATGTGAGAGTAATACGACCGTGCTGCTGCTGCACCTGTACAGTGGATGGACGAGGTACTACGTAAAGGCGATCAACTACAACAACTCCACAGTCCGGCTGGTAGACGATGGTGTGGTCAATGGAAATTGCTCTTCCTTACCAAATCATTCATGGGAGTCTTCATTTTTGGGGGATCTATATGACCAAGACCCGCGAGCCGAACCTCTAGCTCAAGGCTTGGCTCTGATCAACTGTGACAACCCTGTTGTCCAATCTACTACTACTACTACAAGAACCCAACTAGTGTACGTGGAAACTAGTCCTTGCATCGATTTGGGGCCACGTTCTTCTTCTAGCTATGCTCTTATTGGGGGTACGACGCTATATGATCTGCCAAAGATGTGCAGCGTGGAGATGACTACTGGAATTCCCTATAATTACTATTCCAGCTACACTAATGTCACGTTTCAAGAAATTCACCGCCAGCTTGAATATGGATTCGAGCTTACATGGTTGCCTCAACCTAATCCATGCAGATATGATATGTGCTTTTACGGGTTTTGTTACTGCTATGGTACAGTATTATCTTCTCGCATATTCCCTATACGTATTTGTCATACGAATTCGATGTTGATGGTCATTTTTGTTGCATTCGGTATAGGTATTAACAACCAGCTCGTCCTAAGAACTCGATTAACAATCCAAAAACATATATATTAGCTGCTATGACTTATCCCATTTCATTCTACACTCAGTTAGCCAATTGTTACTGTCAAGAGATTAGCTGAGTGTTTGCTTCTTTTTCTTTTGAAGGGCCATCGGACGTTATCCTCTGGATTGGAAGTGAGTTGCAAAGATCTCTGCTTTCTTCTACAATCATTTTACCGCATTACAATCTTCTTGCCTTAACAATGCATACTCTCCTTTTCTTTCTCTTTCTTTTCAGGGTATTTTGAAAAGTGGATCATTATTTTAGGTAAACTATTTTCCAGCTTTCTTCGTATCCTCAGCAATTGGTTCCATTCCACCTTATCTTTTGCTCTCCATCATCAGAACCAAGCTATTACATGACAAACTGATGTGTGTATATTCCCTTTACCACAGTTGTTGTACATCGCATGATCCTGCTTGTACTTGGCACCCCTGCTATCGTTGCCCTTCTGGTGTATAAATGGCGGAGGCGGCATGAATCAGCGTATCACAGCATCGAGGAGTTCCTCCAGAACCAAGCCCACCTCATGCCAATAAGGTACTCTTACTATCACATCAAGAAAATCACTGGAGGGTTCAAGGACAAGCTTGGCCAGGGAGGGTTTGGCTCCGTCTACAAAGCAAAGCTACGCGGAGGCGGCTTTGCCGCCGTCAAAATGCTCAGGACCAACAACAAGGTGCTAAACCCCACAGCTGCAGCAAGGAAAGGGCAAGACTTTATGAATGAGGTTGCCACCATTGGCAGGATCCACCACGCCAATGTAGTCCGCCTTATGGGCTACTGCTCCGAAGGATCAAAGCAAGTCCTGGTTTATGAGTTCATGCCGAATGGCTCTCTCGACAAGCACATCTCTCACGACAACGATGATGGTGGTAGTGACCAAAACAGCAGCAGCAACACCTCTTGTTTGAGCTTGGAACAACTGTACCGCATCTCTCTGGGAGTGGCACACGGGATCGAGTATCTCCATTCAGGATGTGATGTGCAGATACTCCATTTCGACATCAAGCCACACAACATCCTCCTGGACGAAAACTTCACCCCCAAGGTATCCGATTTCGGGCTGGCGAGGCTGAACCAAGCTGGTCGGGACAACAACATCGCGACTCTGACTGCAGCAAGAGGGACCATAGGGTACATGGCACCAGAACTGTTCTACAAGAACATTGGAGGTGTCTCTTACAAAGCCGATGTCTACAGCTTCGGGATGCTGCTGCTGGAAATGACAGGGAAGAGGGGGAACTTGAATGCCACGGAGACGGATCAATCAACGGCTTACTTCCCTTCATGGGTTCACAACGAGGTGTCTTCGCCGGGGACTCCAATTGTAGTTGGAGAAGTCAAGGAAGAGGAAGACAACATTGCCAAGAAGATGGTGATGGTTGGATTGTGGTGCATTCAGACGAAACCTGACGATCGTCCCCCGATGAACAAAGTGGTGGAGATGCTTGAAGGCGACTTGGAGAGCCTGCAATTGCCTCCCAAACCTGTTCTGTTTGCTGCAGAAGCTATAAGGAAGAATGAAGAAGGATCCTCTTCATCATTCGTGTCATCCTCTGAGTATACACAATCTGCTTTGAGTAATCAATATGATGATGATGAGTGATAATTGTAATACTATTACTAACTACTAGTAGTAATGCAGCTCTTAAGTATGTTTCTTGTTATTTCAACTCTATTACTCTTGTTAGTTTGTACTCTTTCCCAAGTTTTGACACAATTTATATCATGCTACTAAAATGTTCCTTCGAGTCAATCTTCCTAATTTGTACTTCCAATTTATCTCCTATAGTCTAGTGCTTTGATTGTTACCGGAAAAAACGTTTGATGTAGAGTTTTTGTTACTGGAAATAACGCTTGATGTTGTCACTATATTTTTTACATGATCCATATGTATATAATATAGGACTCTTATTAAGGGCTTCTTTTTCCACCTAAAAGAATCTATGTTCTTGTAGCCCTTGTATCTGTTGATGATGCCCATTTCTTATCGAGCAAAATCCATTCATGCTTAGTAAGTCTATAGCGTATTTAATGTTATGTATGTCGGAAATTTTTAATTTTTCACTTAATTCAACTCATGGATCTCTCAATGTTCTCGTTTTTCACATCTATTGGTCAATTGGAGTTTATTATCGTCGAGCTTAATAGTAAGATCGGATCAATAGAGCACAAGACAGATCTTGAGTATATGTAGCATATGAGCCATTCAAGGCCATTATTAAGCATGAGTAAGATCCAATTACTAACATATATGTACAAAATTTAAATTCAGGGACTGAAAATAAAATAACTGAATATACTATGTACTGGTTTGTTAAATACATTGTAGATGGAGAAATTTGTTAGAAATCATAGTTGAAGGATTAAAGGTGTTATTAGCCCAACAGAGAAAGGGTTTAAGCCTTCCATCGGCCGAAAGAACCGCGCAGCGCCCTGTCCATTACCAGAAAGCGAAACAAGCAGCGGCGGCGGAGGAGGAGCTCCGAATCCTTTCTTCTGCTCGTCAAACACCGGAAACCAATCGTGGATTCGTCGAGTTGAGCTCCTTCCTCCACAGGGAAACTAAAAAAGCCTTCCTCTCTTCTCCACTAGTGCGGTTGCTTGTGTAGGCTCAGTTCAGCACTCTGATAAACTTATCTCAACATGGACGCGGAGTACGAAGGTTTGTTCAGGTGATGGTTTACTTTGTTTCTTCAGTTGAATTCTCCATTTGTTGAAAAGACAAGCTTTTGTACTTCTGGCAGTCGAGGATTTGGAAGATGAGACTAATGAGGAAGAGGAGCAGCAAGAAATGGGGAAGAAAATGGTTGCTAAAGGGCACAAAGATGCGTTGGAAAGGCTCAAGCAAAAGGTTAGTGTTTCCCCTTATATTTTTCCTCACGCTTGTGAAGTCAAGTTTGAGTCTTTGTTCTATGTTTTCAAGCGGGTGAGTTCTTGATACTATTTTTAAGGTTTTTGAATGGTTAGAATCGATCAATAATAAAATGCAAGAGACCAAATATGGAGAAGGGATTTCAGTAAATGATGAATTCGTGATTGAGCTTACGCTGTTGTAGATATGGACCCCTCAAACTGTTGCCGGTTTGGATATTGGAGGGTTGGAATGTTATAGATTTTGGGAAGTAGAAGGGCTAGATTAGAACTAGCTGGCGAGTAGTGAGTGTTTGAAACCATACAGATACAGTAGAAGGGCTACTTGAAGTGTTTAGTACAACAGTACAAGAGCTACATGCTATATTCTAAGCGTTGATCAGCTAGTTAGGAGTTGAGGAAATTGTTGGCCTTTAGGTGTCTTGGAGGGTCACCTACTCATTTAGGCATTTGGCCTAAGCACCATTCTTCATCATCTTCTTCTGTAGCTAGTTTTGGTATCAGACTTGATGGTGCTTTCTATGGTACTAGTCTTTGTGATTAACTTATCATTATTCTTTTTTATTACTGGACAGGACCCAGAGTTTTATCAGTTCTTGCAAGAGCATGATAAGGAGCTTCTTGAATTCGATGACGAGGATGCTGAGGTAAATTTCTAAAGCATAACGTTTCAAGATTCTGCTTGAGTGAGAGTATGGTGGAATTTCACCATCGGAGCATTTCTGCAGGAGGATGCTGATAATGATTTGGAGGAACCAACCATAGAAAAGGATGAGGCTGTCGATGATCATGACCAACTGGAGAAGGAAGAGAAGAAACAATCTAAAACCGTTGTAACCATCGCAATGGTTGAGTCCTGGACTGAGGCAGTGCTAGATGGTGGTAAAATAGGTGCCCTTCGATCTCTTCTGAAAGGTTTCAGAATCGCATGCCACTATGGTGATGATAGTGGGGATGACTCTTCATCAAACTTGAGTATCATGTCTAGCGCTGTGTTCAATAAAATAATGGTATTTGTCCTGAGTCGAATGGATGGAATTCTTCGCAAGATGTTGGACCTGCCTTCTTATGGCGGGAAGAAAGAGGTGATGCTTAAAGTAATGGGCACCCGCAAATGGAAGAAATACAGTCACCTGGTGAAGTCATATCTGGGAAATGCCCTGCATGTTTTGAACCAAATGACAGATGCACAGATGGTAGCTTTTACTTTGCGTCGTCTTAAGTATTCGTCTTTGCTACTGGCCGCTTTCCCAAGTCTATTGCGGAAGTATGTCAAGGTATAAGAAACTCAGATTCGTTCAAGTTTATGATTTTTTTCACTGCTTTTCTTCGTGTAGCTTGTAACTATTCTTGATGTCTTATCTTATGAAATATTACCATTATAAGTTGATCCATTGATCTATAGCTGATATGTTCCTCGTGTACATGTTGAGATACATGTCCTGTATATGCTTCTTTTTCACACTAGAACTCTTGTTAACAGTGTAGCACTATACTGGAATATTCAGTATAGTTGTTTGAAAGGAATGTGTCATACTAGTAAGTGTGGAGTGTGATCTGCATTTCTCTTTAACATCTCATTTCTTAGAATATATATGCAGAACTGATTTTCCCTTTTTCATGTCAGGTTGCCCTTCACTTTTGGGGTTCTGGAGGAGGTGCCCTCCCAGTTGTATCTACTCTGTTCTTGAGAGATTTATGCGTACGGCTTGGACAGGAATGTGCAGATGACTGCTTCAAGGGTATGTACAAGGCATATGTTCTGAACTGTCAGTTCATAAATGCTGCAAAGTTGCAGCATATCCAATTTCTTGGGAATTGTGTGATTGAAGTATTCCGGGTCGACCTCCCCACTGCCTATCAACAAGCTTTTGTTTACATCCGGCAGTTGGCAATGATTCTGAGAGATGCTATCACTATGAAAACTAAGGTTCTTTCTTTTTCCGTTTTAACTTTCTTATCACTCGATTAAATCAGAGAAATTGAATATTGGTGTATCAGTTACCTCGCACAGTATAACCTGATTTTTCCGAGAACTGGGTTTAATTAACTTTCATCCCATGATCTTTTCTTGCTAGCTGTTTTGTTTTCCTTTTAAGTGGTTTAGAATTCTCAGATGCTGACCTATGCCTTGTACTTGTTTCACAAGGAATCATTTCGCCGAGTTTATGAATGGAAATTCATGAATTGCCTTGAACTTTGGACTGGTGCTGTCTGTACTTACAGCTCCGAAGCTGATTTTAGGCCTCTAGCCTATCCATTAACTCAAATAATTTCGGGAGTGGCTTCTCTGGTTCCAACTGCTAGATACTTTCCTCTTAGATTGAGGTGTGTAAGAATGCTCAACCGCATTGCTGCATCTACTGGAACATTCATACCGGTTTCCACTCTCCTCTTGGACATGTTAGAAATGAAAGAACTGAATAGGCCTCCCACTGGGGGTGTTGGCAAAGCTGTTGATTTGCGCACAACACTGAAGGTATATATCTTGCGGCCCAAAGATACTCCTTTTTGACATTTACTTTTTTGTTGACTTTTAAATTTTTTTGATACCAGGTAAACAAGCCTACGCTGAAAACACGTGCATTTCAAGAGGCCTGTGTATATTCTGTGGTTGAAGAACTCGCCGAACATTTAGCTCAATGGAGCTATTCAATGGCTTTCTTTGAGCTGTCTTTTATTCCAGCTGTGAGACTAAGAAGCTTCTGCAAAGCTACCAAAGTTGATAGATTTAGAAAAGAAATGAGGCAGCTTATACGACAGGTATTAACTTATGCGGATGCGGGATACTATTTATCAAGTGTGAACAGCTTCCTCGAATTATTAGTAACTGCAGCTAATTACCCTGTTGTAGATTGAGGCTAACTCCAAGTTCACAAATGAAAAGCGTACGTCAATCACTTTACCCAATGACCCTGCAGCTGCATCTGAAATTGAGGTGTGCAATTTTTGTGCTTCTGATTCTTCTAATAGAGCAGCAAAGTTGAAATCTATATTTTGAGGAATTATATTTTTGTGATCTTGAATCAGAATGAGAAACAGTTGGGTCCCAGTCCTTTGTCCAAGTACGTTGCGACATTGCGTGAAAGAGCAAAACAAAGAAGTAACTCACTGGTGGAATCCAGGTTTAGTTTAAAAGCCTCTGACTTGCCACCTTTTGAGATTGTAATCCTTGTGCGTACAGTCTGCCATTCTCTAACTCTCTTGACCATTTTCAGTGTTACTGTTGGAGAACGTTCCTCCATGTTTGGCAAAAGGAGATCTGAAGGTGGTGACGACGACAACGACGATGATGATGTTGATGTTGTTGATGATGATGATGATGAAGATGGTCCTGGAAACGAGGAAGCCGCAGCTGTGTTCAACTCATCTTGGTTACCGAGTGGTCTACCAAAGTATGTTGTCTGAATTTCTCGCTCATGTGTAAGTTTGGACTGTTGGTGAGCAAAGATTACATACAGCTAACTGTGCTTATTACTTACTGGTGCAGGGTTGATACATCCAGGGATGAGGGGAAGAAGAAGAAGAATAAGAAAAGAAAGAAAGGGCAGGAAGAAGAAGATGATGATATCGTCGAGGATTTCATACTGAGTTCTGACGAAGAAGAACCCCCGAGTGGCACTCGTAGTGAGGAAGGCGAGAATGTGAAATCAAGGCCACAGAAGAAAAGGCAGAAATTTTCAAAGAAGGAATCTCATTCAAAGAAACCAAGAAGGAGCAGAGGTAGGCTAAATTATGAGGGAGGGCAGTAATCTCTTGATTTTCTCTGTAGCTCTAAATGGGCGAAAATTTTGGGTCTAAGAATGACCAATGAGACTGGAACAGAAATCAAACACTAAGGCAACGATTTTTAGCAACTGTTTCTCCAGACCGTTTCATTGCATGCACTTTTGAGTAGTAATTTATCAACCTTTGATCCATTTGTATGTATATGAATATGAGTATATCAGATATGATATCATAGAACGAATGTTCACAAAAAATTGTCAGATCAATCAGTGGAATCATGGCTGTGGATTACTTGTTGATTTCAACATGCGTTTATGTACTATCATATACTGCTCTAGTAATCTCATTTGCTCGAACTCAGATTCAGAGTTGGCATCATTGGAAATGGAGGGGGAGAAATAAAGGTTTTATCATTCTATTTCTGGTATGATTTCCAACTCCTGCACAGGCTTTGACTTTACCATGCTAGCCATTCTGAACACACCACCACCAGGATTAGAGCTAACAGGATTAGGAGGTGGTTTTAAATCATCACCTTGGCCTTCCAGCATTTGAACCACAAGTTTCATCTGAGGTCGGTCGACTGGGTTCCACTGAATGCACCATAGCCCCACTATTGCCAGCTTCCTGGCAATCTTACCATCTTCCTCCTCTGCTTCCTCCAAATCAAACCTAACATCTTCTCTAGACTCGCCGAAAAGGCTATAAATCCACTCTGGGAAGTATATCTGTTCACCACCACCATCTGCTGCTGTTGTTGCCACATCGATGTTCTTCCTTCCTCCAACCATTTCCAGCAACAACATCCCGAAACTGTACACGTCGGCCTTGTATGACACGTTCCCGAAGTTCCTCGAGAACACTTCTGGAGCAATGTATCCTATGGTCCCTCTGGCTGTGGACATGGATATGGCACTCTGGTCCTTCGCACAAAGCTTGGCCAGGCCAAAATCCGAGATCTTCGGGTTGAAGTTCTGGTCGAGGAGAACGTTGTGAGGCTTTATGTCGAAGTGCAAGATTCTTTGCTCGCATCCCTGGTGAAGGTACTCGATTCCTTTGGCTATTCCCAGAGAGATATCTTGGAGTGTCTTCCAACCCAAACTGGAGGTTTGGTTTTTTCCATCTGAGATGTATTTCTGCAGTGAATCATTTGGTAAGTACTCATAGACTAGTGCTCTTCTAAACCCATCTGCACAGAAGCCAATCAGTCTAACCACATTAACATGGTGGATTCTTGCCATTGTTCCCACTTCATTAACAAAGTCTTCCCCATTTTCTATGGAGCTACTGGTCAGGACTTTGACAGCAACTTGGATTTCACTTGACAGCTTGCCTTTGAACACTGTTCCATAAGCTCCTCGACCCAGTTCAACTCCGAACTTGCTTGTGATCCTCTTGATATCAGCATAAGAGAATCGTGTTGGCTTGAGAGCATTGTAATCATCCAAGAACTTCTCAATCTTATGTCGGTACTCCTTTTCCCTCCTATCGTACCTGTATGCACGGTAGAGCACAAAGAGCACTACCACAATGAAAACTGAACCGAGAACCGCTCCAGCAATCAATCCCTTCCTCAAAGGCGACACTGTAAAAAAAACGGAAGAGGGAAATCAATGGAATGAGTGATCTTGATGACATTGAGATTATTCCAGGCGTACTGACCCAAATTGAAACTAGACAGGACTGAGAACCACATGCTCAATAGTCAAATGACATACCTCTCTTGCGAGTAGCATCACCAGAGCACTCAACTTCAGGGTCAGGGTTCGGCCCCTGCTTCAGTACACAACATTCCTCCTTTGACTTATAACATCTGCTGCAACGTGGGTTCGACCAGCTCAACATAAGACTCTGATCTTCGTTAGACAGGGCTGGTAATTGGAGATCGTACATCTTCGTACACGACACCAAGTTCACATCATTCAGAGGTGACCCAGAAGCGAGGGAAAACACCGTGCTGCCCAAGCAAGTCACCCATGACAGAGACGAAGTGATGTGACTGAGCTTGGGGCAATTGAACAAAGTGTAAGTGGGCAAACTCCCTTCCAATTTTAATGGCAAGGAAGCGAAATCAAGGTCACGGAGTTGTCTCGGCATGCATTCATCTGGGCTCTTAACATGAACAAGCTGAGATTCATAGTCGATGCTGAGAAGTGTGAGGTTCACCGAATTCGGAAGGTGAAGCAAGGTTTGGTTTCTTCCAGCGCAAGACAGATCGAACCCTGGGAATCCCTGGTACCCAGATGACCTACCTCTGATAGTGAATGGGAACCTGATGTCACTGCTGTTTCCACCGCAGCTGGTTGTCGTTCTGCAGGAAAGGTTGAGACTTTGTGCTCCATGATTAGTCAATAGTAAAATGAAGCACCATAACCAGCTCTTCATTTTTGGACTGATGGTTGGGTTCTGAGACGCTCGGGGATTTCAAAAGATCTCTGCTGTTGAATGAGTTGAATCTACAGTTGGAAGCTGCTGCACTGTTTCTGAAAAGGGTTGAGCTGGTAATGTTTAAAAAATGTAAAGCCCTCCATCATTGGCAAGTTGCTTTCAACTGGATAAGTAATAGCAAAGGGGAAACCTTTACATCCATTCTTTTGACTTTTCAATTGGCAAGTTGCTCCCTTCTTCCCTCCTGTCGATTCTTCCGCCTATCATTAATTAATGCCCACTTTCCACTCTTTACCCCAATCGTGGTTGGCCGAGGTTTGAGTTTGACTATTCAGAAACGATGATAGTTGCTGACTCCACTAGCTTTCTCTGTTCATACTCCGTTGAATAGTAGACAATCAAATCAAATCAAATCTGCAAGGGAAAAGTTTCTCCTCAATATGCGAGAGAGCAGATTGCTTGGTTGAACTCTGCCATGTTCAGTGCAAGGCTTCCCTTCCATTTCCCAGATGGGTTGATTCCCTACTCAGTATTTCTCTTGCTGCTGCTACTTGCCCAAACTTGCCAGGCAGCTACTGCAGATGGAGGAACCTGCAGACCTTCCTCCTGCGGCGAAATCCCTGAAATCAAGGACCCTTTTCGCCTGACAACTGATCCACAAAGCTGCGGAAACCAAAAATACAACCTCTCATGCGAGAGCAACACAACGGTGCTTTACATCGAGTCAGCCAGATACTACGTCAGAGCAATAAACTACAAGAACTTAACAATCAGGTTGGTCAATGAGGGAATAATCGACGGCCAATGCTCTTCCTTGCCCACCAGCCCTCTGTCGGAAAACAGCTTCTACTTCCTCGATCCATACATAGCAACAAGGGACAGACAGAGGTTCTTGTCCAAGAGCGAAGAGCGCTTGAATGAAGTGTTGACTCTGTTCAGCTGCCAGGGTACTCTCAGCAGTTCTGCAGGATTGGTGGAAACAGCTCCATGCATCAGTGGAGTGAACAATTCTTCGGGTTATGCAGTTTTTGGTGGTGCAATGGATGCTCTCAGCTTGGGGAAGATGTGCAGGGTTGATATGATGGCGATGTTGGCCAAGAAGAAGGATGGTTCTTACGACCAGGTCGGGTTTCAAGAAGTTCACCGACAGCTCGAATATGGGTTCGAGCTCTCGTGGCATCTGTACAAGTGTGCTGGCTGCTTAGGGGTCAATAGTTGCTACCTTGATAAGGACAACAAAGTTCTCTGCTCTGGTAATGGCTGTATACATTATCTACATCACCATATGCTGCTTTCTGATCTTGTTTCTGCAAATTATCATGTTTTGCTTTCAACAACTGATGATGTTTATGGTTTCTCTGTTTGGTGTAGGGCTATGGGACCAAATCATATTGATTACAAGTGAGAGATCTCTCTCCCTAACCCTGTTTGAGTATTTGTTTCTGGGTGAATAGTAATAGCAGCTAGTAACCTAGGTGGTCATTGAACTACAGTTGTGGAGTTTCATTTTGATCGCTCAAAACTAGTTTTAGGGTCCAATTGGACGATGGATTCTGCTCCACAATCTATCTCTCTAGTCAAGAATGCTCTAATTTTGTGGGTTCTCAACATTCATGCCTCTTTCTTTTGCATTGCAGCAACCCTTGGAAGACTCCTATATACCCTTGGTAAACTCCACATTCATCTCAGAACTTTCTTTTTCAGTTACACTTCAGCTCCAAAAGTAGTAACAGAACCTTCATTACCTCTACACAGTGGTTCTAGCTCACGTGGCAATGGTGCCACTGGGAACCCCGCTCGTGATAGCATTCCTCGTCTACAGATGGCGAAGGAGACATCTCTCGGCATACGACAAGATCGAAGAGTTCCTCCAGAACCAGAACAACCTGATGACCCCAGTTCGTTACTCTTACTCTGACATCAAGAAGATCACTCGTGGCTTCAAGGACAAGCTAGGCGAAGGCGGTTTTGGTGCTGTGTACAAAGGAAAGCTTCGCAGTGGCGGGTTTGCAGCTGTGAAGATGCTTGGCAAGTCAGCAGCTGGAGGAGGAGGAGGTCAAGACTTCATGAGTGAAGTTGCCACCATTGGCAGGATTCACCATGCCAACGTCGTTCGACTGATTGGTTTCTGCTCCGAAGGATCGAAGCGTGCTCTGGTCTATGAGTTCATGCCCAACGGCTCCCTCGACAAGTACGTGTTCCACAAGCAAGGTTACGAAACTCTGAGCTTGGAGCAAATGTACCGGATCTCTCTCGGGGTGGCACGTGGCATCGAGTACTTACACTCAGGATGTGATATGCAGATTTTGCATTTCGACATCAAGCCACACAACATCCTTCTGGATGACAACTTCAGCCCCAAGGTATCTGATTTTGGGCTGGCGAAGCTTTATCCAACTGGTGACAGGGTGGCAACTCTGACTGCCATACGTGGGACCATAGGGTACATGGCACCAGAGCTGTTCTACAAGAACATTGGGGGTGTCTCTTACAAAGCTGATGTATATAGCTTTGGGATGCTGCTGTTGGAAATGGCAGGAAAGAGGGATAACGCTGCAGTGACGGATAATTCGAGCCAGGTTTACTTCCCCTTCTGGGTTCACGACGAGGTGTTGTCGTCGAACTCGCCTGCTGGGGATCATGTTGTGGTTGGACATTCTACGGAGGAAGAGAATG